TCAACATTTTCTTCCATATAAGGAAGGTGTCTAATACTTCATCTTTATGCATCATTGTGTAAACCTATACTCTTTTTGAGAAATCATCAATAAACGACACAAAGTATTGTTTACCTCCCAAAGAAGCATTTTTGGAAGGTCCTCAAACATCTGTGTGAATGAAGTCCAGAATCCCTTTGGTACGATAAATGGCAGTACCAAACTTTATTCTTGTTTGCTTGCCCAGTACATAATGCTCGCAGAACTCAAGCTTCCCCGTTTTGGCACCTTTCAATAGGCCTTGCTTTACCAACCCTTGTAAAGTCTTCTCACCGACATGCCCTAGGTGCATGCGCCAAATTCTGGAAGTGTCTGATACATCATCCTCTGAGCTAGTGGAGACTGCCACTCTACTTGTGACTATAGAGCCGTCTAGGAAATATAAATTTCCCTTTCGAATGCCCTTCATTGCAACAAATTCTCCTCGTACCACTTTGAGAACTCCACATTCAACAGTTACTCTATAACCTTTGCAGTCTAAAACTCCCACTGAGATAAGATTCTTTGTCAAATCTAGTATATACCGAACATCTTCAAGAATTTTGACTGTTTCATCATGCATCTTCAACTGAATTGTTCTAATCCCCTTTGTTTGGTAAGCTTGGTCGTTGCCCATCAACAACACTCCTCCATCAAACTCTTGTAAGCTCGAGAACCACTGCTTATTAGGACACATGTGATAGGAACATCCAGAATCTAGAATCCATTCATCAGAATGGCCAAGTGATGACATTGTGAAGGGATTATCTCCATCTCGTGCAACATTCATTTTTTCCACTTTCTTGTCTTTATTGGGACAATCTTTTGCCCAATGCCACTTCTGGTGAAAAGTAGCACACTCGTCTTTTGCAAGACGTCTTCTATCTGATGATCTCCCTCTGGATTTTGAGCAAAACTTTTCTCGCCCTATATATCTTATGTTATTCGTCCTACCTCTGATTGTCAATGCCTCTGATGTTGAGTCCCTATTTGCAAACTTATCCTTCCTTCTGAACTCATTATTTACCAAGGCGTTTGAAACATCAACATACTTGATCTTTTCTTTACCATACAGTAAAGTGGTGATGAGATGGTTATATGTGTCAAACAAGGAATTTAACAATAACAGTGCCTTATCTTCATCATCGATTTGAACATCCAGGTTTTTCAAATAGCCAAGAATTTTGTTGAAATTGTTCAAGTGTTCGTTCATCGAAATACCTTTCTTGTAGTCGAAACAAAACAACCTCTTCTTGAAGTAGAGCCGGTTCTCAATGCTCTTTGTTATGAACTTGTCTTCCAAAGCCTTCCAAAGCTCCTTCACAGTATCATATTCTGTGATGGTGTACTTTTCTTCTTTTGCAAGGCAGAGTCGGATAGAACTGCAGGCCAAGAGATTAACTTTCTCCCATTCTATTTCGTCCAAGTCATCTGGCTTGTCTCCAAGAGTGAAGTGCAGGTTCATCTGGACAAGCATATCTTCAATTTCACATCTCCACATGCCGAAGTTGATTTTACCATCAAACTTCTCTACCTTAAACTTAGCGTGGGAGGGGGGGTTTAACGGTCAGAGTTGTTTGCAGCTGCGGGGCTGCTTGTAGATTCAACTGATCTCCTATCTGTAGATTCTGCCATTGAGACTTCTCGAAACAAAACAAAACAAAAAAAATCTCCACCACAAACAATAGCGGATGCTTGAAATGCCCAAAACACGAGAAATTCTAAGCTCCCAAAACCTTTACTGAAAATTCAAGTCCGAATCTCAAAAACAAAATCCACGTTTGTGTCGGAATGATTGATTTAGCTAGAAAAAGACTTTCTCTACCTCTCTAGGAACCTCAATGAAATTTCTCCAAATCCAGGAGCCAAATTACAATTTCCCAAAACTCCTAGGACCTAACTGTAATTTATTGAAGTTTCAAGGGCTGAAATACAATTTCCCAAACTTTCAAGGGCCTCCGAGCAATGTTGGCAATTTTGACTGACTGAGATGATGATGTGGCAGATGTGCTGACGTGACGAACACGTGTGTTGATATGGCGATGACGTGGTGGTTGAGCTGTTGCTAGTATGGCTTCACACGTGGTAGTACGTGGCGATGGCGTGGCAGCTTCCTAAAAATAATTTGAAAAATTGTTTGTGAAGAGTTTTGAACCCTTGTCCTCAAGGTTCGAAACCAAAGCTATAACCACTCTGCCAAGTGTGGACTTGTGTTCTATTGTTGCACAAGTGAATACTTAAAGACTTCAGGTTTGGTGGCATGTTGTCATGTTCAACGTTTACATCTTCGTCGGACTGATCTTTCCGGCGAATCTCCAACCGAACTCCGGCAGAGCATGTGAGGGCTCGTAAGGAGTCCGTTTGGGTTGGTTTTTCAAGGTCTGGACTCTTTTCGTCGAGGCGTACATTATGGTATTCCGAAAACGTGATTTCGATAATTTCGAAATTTTCAATTTACAAAAAACAAAGTTGTAGATGCTTTGTTTTGGCACAACTATGCTCTGATACCAATTTGTTGTGCCTAGAAGGCAAAAAACAAATACACAAGCACACAAGCAAGAACACACAAAGATTTACGTGGTTCAGCAAATCGTCTACGTCCACAGGCAGCGAATTTCACTATATGGAGAGAAATAAAAAGATTTCAACAATGGAGGAGGATGAGACAATACTCTCACTCTACTCACACTCACTCAGTTACTTACACTCTCTTCTGATTGCCACACCAAACCCTTTCCATTCACTAACCATTTATAGATGCAATGGGAGAGCCAAAGTCTTCAACAAGCCACCGATAACATTTATGGCAACCACCAACAGGATATGAAGATCAGCCACCCTACCATGGAGTAGCTCTGCTGAATTTTCAGCTTTTTCATTTGTCTTCAATCAGCAACCATTATTGACAAAGAAAATCAGAGCCAATCTTCAACAACCAGATGATTCAGTACAACTAATTATAATTTTTAGAAACGTATTCAGTGTGTTTGGTTTCAGATTTTTGAATTTAATTTTCTAAAAATTGAGGTTTTTATTTTTCGTATTTTTTTTTTGTTTTTAGTGAATGTTTTTAAATTTTAAGCAATTTTTTTACTTTTTTAGATGTACCTCACTTAAATGTATCAGAGCCAATCTTCAACAACCAGATGATTCAGTACAACAAATTATAACTTTTAGAAACCTATTCAATGCGTTTGGTTTCAGTTTTTTGAATTCAGTTTTCTAAAAATTGAGTTTTTTGTTTTTCATATTTTTTTTTAGCGAATATTTTAAAAATTTTAAGCAATTTTTTTACTTTTTTAGATGTACTTCACTTAGATGTATCTAAATAGTAAATTATTTGTGAAAAAATATTTTAAAAAATTAATAAATACACAAAAATATGAAAAATGTACTGAATTTTTATTTTATTTTATTTTATTTTTTTGTATTTTCGGTATTTAATGAATTTTAAAAAAAATCACAAATATTATACTAGTATTTATATGTTAAGTGTGTCTAAAAATTAAAAAAGTTACTTAAAATATTTTAAAAAATTAGTGAAAACAAAAAAGAATACAGAAAATAAAAAAATAGAATTTTTTGAAAAGTAAATTTAAAAAACGGGAAACAAACAAAGTGGTTGTCATTCACATGTGATACAAATTTTCAGAACTAGCATCAAACCATACATTAAAAAATCAAAACCAAACTATGATTTAATATACATTAAACCGATTTACGATTTTTTAAATCTTTTTTTTTTTTTTTCAATCTTACTTGAAATATACACTCTATTTGTTTGGACTATTTTTTGGCTGATACAATAAAAAATGAAAATCAATAGAAAATAAGCATATACAAACAGAAAATATTTTTTTTTTAAAAGATAAAAAATGTTTTTCGAATTAAAATCTTATTAATATCACCACACCATCACAGCCACCATCACCGCCACCCCACCATCATGCCACCACCTCCACCTTTACCTTTGTCCCACCACCGCCACCACCAAATATAAACAAATATTTTTTCTGAAAATATTTTTCATCCAAACAAGCATAGCAATGAGTGAAAATGAGTCTAACAAAAGGGTAACAATGTAATTTTGCCAGACATAAACCATAACGGCAGATTTTTTTACTTTTTTAGATGTACTTCACTTAGATGTATCTAAATAGTAAATTATTTGTGAAAAAATATTTTAAAAATTAATAAATACACAAAAATATAAAAAATGTACTGAATTTTTATTTTATTTTATTTTATTTTTTTGTATTTTTGGTATTTAATGAATTTTAAAAAAAAAATCACAAATATTATACTTTCTGAGTGTATTTATATGTTAAGTGTGTTTAAAAATTAAAAAAATTACTTAAAATATTAAAAAAAAATTAGTGAAAACAAAAAAGAATACAGAAAATAAAAAAACAGAATTTTTTGAAAAGTAAATTTTAAAAACGGAAAACAAACAAAGTGGTTATCATTCACATATGATACAAATTTTCAGAACTAGCGTCAAACCATACATTAAAAAATCAAAACCAAACTATGGTTTAATAAACATCAAACCGATTTACGATTTTTTAAATCTTTTTTTTTTTTTGTTTCAATCTTACTTGAAACATACACTCTATTTGTTTGGACTATTTTTTGGCTGATACAATCAAAAATGAAAATCAATAGAAAATAAGCATATACACACAGAAAATATTTTTTTTTTAAAAGGCAAAAAATATTTTTCTGATTAAAATCTTATTAATATCACCACACCATCACAGCCACCATCACCGCCAGCCCACCACCATGCCACCACCTCCACCTTTACCTTTGTTCCACCACCACCACCACCAAATATAAACAAATATTTTTTCTGAAAATATTTTTCATCCAAACGAAACATAGCAATGAGTGAAAATGAGTCTAACAAAAGGGTAACAATGTAATTTTGCCAGACAAAAACCATAACGGCAGCTACTCGGTGTTTGAACACACCAAACTGATTACTCAAACTAAACAAACTGGCCATTTGATCTTTCAATTTCGTGTCATGCAAATATATATATATATATATATATATTCACTTGCCAGATGTGAATCATGCAAACTCATCACCAACATTGAAGTCCCAGACCTAACCCCTGATTCTATATAAATACCCATTTCTTTTACGCCTTTGTTAAGCTCTCAAAACTGCCCAGGACAAAGAACTCGATCGTCAATTCTCGGAGCCCCTCTTCAATTGCTTTGATTCCAGGTTCTTTTCATCTTCCTCTGTTTACAATCAATACTTTTGTGTGAATGTATATGTATATATCGTGTTTCTGTGATTTGGTTATTGAAATTCAGGGTGTGTTTTGAACAACCCACGATCGTTAATGAATTGGGTTTTTATATATACATGTGTTTCTTTGATTTGGGTATTGAATTGTGGTTGTGCTTTGAACAACCATGATTGTTAGTGAATTGGGTATCGAATTAAAGGCGTGTTTTGAACAATCCATGATTGTTGGTGAATTGGGTGATATGATGATTTGAGGCTTCTGATTCCAATCACAAATGGTTTTCATGAGATCGATGATGATACATTTGTAGAACATCTGTTAGACATCCTGAATTCAATTGTACTTGTAAACATGCTCTAACATTGTGTTCTGATCTGTTAGGAGATGTGTTTCACTAATTCTGTATGAATCTCGTGCTGAAGATTTAAACTTGTGTAGTTGGGACTTGGGTTGTTTCAATATTGACCATGTCTGGTTGTGAAAATGAGAAGCGTCTTAAGAAATCTGATTCATTTAAAGAGGAAGATCAGATCAGCAATTTGCCCGAGCCGGTTCTTTGTCGCATTCTCTCACTTCTTTCTATGAAAGATGCAGTGAAAACTAGCCTTCTTGGACCCAAATGGAAGGACCTTTGGGCTGCTGTACCCAATCTTGAATTTGATTTCAAATCAATGTATCATCCTAATGGGCCTTGTTGTGATTCCAAGGATAAACTGAGTAAATTCATGGATTTTGTAGAGGGGGGATTGATTTTGCGTGATGGGTTGAACATACAAAAATTCAATCTATCATGTTTCGAGATCTGTGATTTCTCCCAAATTTATGCATGGATTTGCAATGTTATAACATGTAATGTTCAAGAAATTGATATTCGGTTATCTGTGCACCCCTACGGTCAGTTGCCTTGGAGACTTCTTACGTGCAAAACATTGGGGGTTTTGAAGCTAACCGGTCGTTTTGTGCTAAATGTCCCAGCTAATATTTGTTTTCCAAGCCTCAAGATTCTCCATCTCCGATCACTCATATATACAGATGATGCCTCAATTGAAAAGCTATTTTCTAGTTGTCCCATCCTTGAAGATTTGGATGTAGTAAGGCATGACTGGGATAATGTATGGTCCTTCAATGTTTCCATGCAATCTCTAAGAAGATTATCATTGTGTTTTCATCCAAAAGGATTCGAATTTTTAAAAGATCATCAGCACAAAATCATGGTTGATACTCCCAATCTTGAATACCTCAAGCTTCACAATTATGTATCAGAAGACTACATGTTCTATAACATATCTTGCTTAGTTGAAGCTGATCTTGATATTATAAGGCCTCGCGTGAGTAGTGTACGGCGTAGCATCTTTTCAAAGGGTGTGGGCAAGCTTTTTATGAGGATGTCTACTGTTAAACTTCTATCATTATCTACTCGTACTCTTTGTGTAAGTGCTCTTATCTATATCCTTGTTGATGTCGAACTTGTTTACGTTGGGCAAACTTTTTTCGGGGTAAACTGTTTGCTTGTAATTTCATTTTTATTTTGTATTTCCAAAAAACACATTAAACTTGTTTGGCAAATTGTATTTGGGAAATTTTTTTGAAAACAACCCTCTTTTAGGAAACACTAAAAGTCTTTTTCGAATTTTGGAAAATATTTTCACACCAAAAAAAGGAAAATGGTGGGCGCTTTCAAAAATTTCATTGTATGTTTCCGAAAACACAAAAAATGAAAACAAAGAAAACAAAAAACATGACCAAACAAGCCCTAATATTCATGCTATTCTTTATGCAGGTTCTCTTGTTTGTTCATGACCTTCGCTATAATAATATACCTACATTTCATAATCTGGTACGTTTGAAGCTGGGACTTGATCCTTTCCTAGGCTGGCATCTGCTGCCAAAATTACTTGTGAGCTCGCCTAATCTCGAAGCTCTTTGCTTTGAGCAGGTAAATTTGATCTTTATATGTAATAATCAATAACATCAAAAAGGTTTTCAACTTGCAAACTCTGAAGTTGTGTATGTTTTTTTAGGGACTTGTGTATGTTAAAAACAACCCTAATGATCATCACATTCAGTTTAGGAGCATGCCACAAGAAGTGCCTGAATGTTTGCTTACGCACCTTAAGACTATTGAAATTCACAAGCTTGTAGGAAAGATAGATGAGCTGAAACTGATAAAGTACTTTTTGAAGAATGCAATGGTTTTGAAGAACATGACAATCCGATGTCATTGTATGAACGTAGTGTGGAATGTTCGTGATAGATTGTTGATGTTTCATGATGAAATATGGAAGTGTCCTTGGGGATCAAGTTCTTGTCAAGTGAAATTTATCATCTGAAGATCTCAATAGTCTACCTTCTTTTCTTGAATGTATATATCAAGTTTGAAGTTCATTGTTCACATTCTCTCTTTGTTATATGTCAGTACACATTTTTGGCCTGGTTTAAAACCATTTTAGCACCTTAGGTAGGAGTTTGCGAAAAGTGAAGCGTAATCATGCATTAAGAGAGACATGCCTTAAATGAATTTCGTGTCAAGTGTCATTAACATTTTGGATATATTTAGTTTACTAATGTATTGCTGATATATTAGATGGTATTTAAATTTGATCATCGTAGCATTAGTATTGTAATGTGATATGTTCTATAATAGTGAATGGATGTCGTATATAATCCCTTTTTTATTTTTTTGGGGTGAAATTTTTAATAGTGAATGGATGTCGTATATAATCCCTTTTTTATTTTTTTGGGGTGAAATTTTTATAATTTATCCATCAATAGCAAAATGTGACAATATAACCATATTTTTGGAATCGTAGTGTATTTTTTTTTTTTTTTTTCCTATCAGTGTTTTGTTCCTTCATCAAACATTCTTTTTTCTAGTAGACTTGTGGTGGTTTTGCATGCTGATGAAAGTTGGTTCTAGGGTATTAGCTAAAGAAATTAAACTTACAATAATCTTTTTTTGGCTAAACAACTAAAACATAATAAACTCAACAATCATAAATAATTGAATTGTAGGTTGGTTGAGATTTAAAATGCAACTCAATGTTGCATTTGGATGAATATATTTGAAATGAAAGGATGGTTGTTCAAAATTTCAAATTCACCAAAATTTAAAGAGGACGTGTGGCTATCTATGCTGGATTGGGACACTTGAAAAGAGCATGATGGAGGAGAAGCAACGACCTTTTTATTATAAAATCTGTGAATATAATCTTGTTGGGTTGGTGTACCTTGATAGATACTATTCATTTTATCCTGAGTCCAATTGGGGGTACTTTAGTAATTTTCTTGTTGCTTCCACGTTGTCCTAATTCTATACTCACAAATAAATGAAGGCGGCGCCTCTTTTAGATCAATAGAGTTGTATTGTTTTCTGATTATAGTGAAAACCATAACAGCCATAGACATAATATTCTGTAGTGAACTACATAAATCCTTGTATTCTTGTGTGTAATTTGTTTTATATTTCTTATTTATTATTTCGTATTTCATCGATCCTGATTAGGAAGAGACGTTTTCTAACAAATCTTTCTTCATAATATGAGTTTCAAATAATTTCATAAACGGTTATTATGCCAAATCTACCCTAATAAAAACTCTCAAATCTCTATCCACTTATCCTCACGCACTTCTTTTCAATACATATAATCATATCTTGAGCTTTAGATGTTTCAAAATTCTAATTATATACAATGCATTAGGGATAGAGAAACAGATTTTGAGGAGACAAGTTTCTAGTTACAAGCATCTGTTTGGTTGCTAGGAAAACAAGGAACGATGAGGAATTCAAGGATTATGGGTTATTCTTTGTATATGAATTACGCCTTCCTTAATCCTTTTTTTAGTTCAGTACCTGGCTCTTAATTATCACTTAATATTATTTTCACCTCTCAATTATATCTCTGAATCATAAAAAATCGTATAAATAAATGCCACCTTGAAAGAGTGAAGAAGTGATAATATTTAACACTTGAGGAGGGTCCAAATTTATAATTTTATAGCCGAGGAAAGTAATATTCAATAATAGTTGACAGAGGTGTTGTGTAATTAATTTATTTTTCAATCAGTATAAATGAATAGGGACAACAAAACTACATTACCTGTGATAAATAGCACACCATTCATCAACCAATCCGTTGTCTTAAAGAGACATTGTGAATACCCAAAAATGATAGTATCATGCAATGATGTTTTTCATTATCAATGTATTTGTTTTTAATCAGAAATTAAATTTTTTTTTTTTTTTAATAAGGATAAATTACAACAGTAGTCTCTGCTGTTTACCTCTTATGTTAATTAGGGCAAATTTCCGTATGAAATATTTCCACCTCTTTCAAGCTCTCAACCATCCCATCTGGCTCTTCCGTTCATACTTGCTCTAATCAAGGTGTGGTAAATTTCTCATTGTCCACTGCCAATAAGCTCAAAAAAGCTCCTACTTTTACAACCTATCCTTTTATCAATAAGCAATTCAATGGGCTTTTAGATCAGCTTTCATGATCTATTTCTGGCTTTTCCATTTCATCTTCATCAATTTTCTCATCTTTTCATCTAAAAAATCCTACTTTGCCTCCTCTGATTCTCTAATCAAGTCCTGGTACATTTCTGCATTCAGTGCATCGACCTTTTTCAACGAACTAACAAAATCTTCTGCTTCATCAACTTCCCCTTTATCGCGAAGCCAATTCAACACTCTCGAAACCAGTAAAGCCTTAGGCCTCCAACCCGGGTTCTCCGCCTTCACCGCCAGAGCGTTCTTCATGCACTCGAAAGCTTTCCCCATATTCTCCTTATCTAAATACGCCTTAGCAATGATTGCCCAGCTGTTGGGAATCGGAGTCTTCCCTCTCTTGACAATGACCTCAAGCATTTCTTCGGCTTTCTCGACCAATCCCTCTTTACAGTAACCAATAAGGAGAATATTGGGCACTCGGAGATCATAACAATGACAAGATGATTCCCACTCCTCAAGCACTTCTTTAGCTTCTTCTAGCTCGCCAAGTTTCACCAGAGAACCCAACATGGTTATATAGTCCCGGTTTAATTGCTTCTTACAAGTAACTTTTTGGAAGCCCCATATTCTTCTCACCTCGTCTTTATTTCCTAGGCTTGCATAGAGCGAAATCAAGTGATTGTAGCCGAGTGCATCATTGTGTAGCTTCTCTTCTAATTTCTTCAAAAAAATTAGTGCTTTCTCTTTGAGACCGGCTTTTATGTATAAATTAGCCACGGTTGAATAAGTGGTCCAATCCATGGAGATGTGAGATTGACTTTCCATTTCTTCTAGAAGCTTCTCCATACTCTTAACGTCCGATCTCGCCCCATAAGAATTCATGCAAATTCTATAGGTGAAGTTATCAGGGGTGACACTGTTTTTCTTCATCTCTAATAACACATCAGGGATTTTCTCGAGTTGGCCAGTGTGCGTATAGAGGCACATGAGATCGTTATAACTGAGAGTAGAAGAAGCGAAACCCATCTCCTTCATCTTCTGCATGTGGGAGATGGACTTATCAACAAGTCCTGCTCGAACATAACAGTTTAAGAGCGCGCCATAGATCTTGTCAATTTTTTCATGCTCATTCAACATATTGAAGTATCTCTCCGCAACATTCAAGCCTCGGACCCTGCCAATTAGATCCAACTGCACAGCCTGGTCACCTGGTGAAAATAGGCAGAGACCTTTACTACTCATCCACTCAGAAATCTGTCTTAGCAAGCATCCAAGCCACAAAAATGTTTTAGAAAATAGACAACACAAATTTATGGCCACTAGATCAGGATTGAGAAACTATGGAGTATGAAAAAGTTTGACTTTAGTCTTCACCTTAACTTTGTGTTAATGTGCAGCAAAACTAGCAAGATACGATTTTGTACAACCGAGTTCATGAGATGGTAGAAGTAATAACACTTATTGAAGATGAAAAGAGGAAAAATCAATTAAGAATGAAAACCAATAAGTACACCAATAATAACTGATTGAGGCCAGTCAAATCACATACAAATAAAATGTGTGTATAAATTCATAGGAAAAGACTATGGTATATACCTAATAACTAAAAAGGAAAATTGTATAACTTAATACTTTCTAAGTCATAATTAAAAAAAAATAATCATAACCAAACAACATGAGGCATAACCAAATAACTCACGAGTCCTACCTAAAATAAATTATAACTAAAGAAGAAAATGATATAAGGTATATACGGTAGGGGTGTTCATAGATACAGAATGAGAACAAAAAAACAAATCGACATTTTGAAGCCACAATACCAAGAAAAAGATAAAATCACTTTCCAAATATATAGACAAAAAAAAAATAAATAAATCCTTTTTTTTAATAGTTGAGAAAATTACTGTGTGGACATCTGAATAAATAAATCCATTCGAAATGGTGAATAGAACAGCTCAAATAAACTCAACTAAGTGGGGGGGTTTGATTTTAAAATTTCAACAATGATAAATCTAGGATTCAAAATTTATGTTTATTTTATTTTCCTACATATGCTCATTAGCCAAACAAAACCCAGAAAATCACAATACCAAAAAAAACATGAAATCAATTTCCAAATATATAGACAAAAAATAAAAAATACAATCCATTCGAAATTGTGAATAGAACAGCTCAAATAATAAATAAAATAAATGATAAAAAAAAATTGCATTTAGAGGGTTTGAGTTTTCTAAACTCAACAATGCTTAATCTAGGACTCCAAATTCATGTTTCTTTTCTTTTCTTTTCCTACCAAACAAACAAAACCCAGAAAATTCATACAGAGACATGAAGAGGAATTCAAGAATCGAACCTCTAGGGCGTGAGTGTATCGCTTGCGGCCACGGAGATGGCGAATAATGCGACGAAGCTCGAAGGCTCTGACCTTTTGGCCCTCTTGGACCCATTGATCGAGGACTGGGACGATACTGAGATTAGGGTTTCCGAGGGGGCTAATTCGGGAATAGAGATTGTTAGGGTTTGAGTTCGATCCTGTAGCACAGTACGTTTTGATCAAGACCCAGAGATTGTTAGGGTTTGTGTTCGATCTTTTGAAGATTGTCAACATCGTTAAACTAGCAATGTTTAGTGGACTGTTTTGAAGATGAACACTGGTTTAGCAGAGCCTAGGGTTTTTTGACATTTTTTAGGGTTTGAGGTTTTGAAAATGTCAAAGTGATAATGGCAATTGTATTTTTTATTTTTTATTTTTTTTGAACAGGTTTGATATTGGCAAGTTTGAGTTTTTTTTTTGGGGTAAATATGGCAAGTTTGAGTTGCGAATGGTTACATTTGAAAAATTATAAATATTTTTGTTTGAATTTTTTATTTAATAAAATTAATTATAGAAATCATCTTTTATATAAAGATTAAATTTTTTAAAATATTAATTAAAATAAATTATTAACTAGCTTAATAATTTATTAATAAAATGATTATTTATTATAAAATTAAAAATTTTAATGGTAAAATATAATATTTAGAATCATATTTGAAAGGTTCTTTGGTAGGGGCTTTATAGCTCTCATATCACAAATTTTAATTTCAACGCAAACCTATGTGGGGGCTCCAATCGAGGAGGGTGTTAGGCCCCTACCTCAATCTAATCCAACCTAACCCCGTCCTCTTTGGGCTCCAATACCTCATTTCTCTTGTTGAAATTGTTAGATGCTGTCATTCAAGTCACTTGGACATTTTTATAAGAGAAAATATCACTTTAGTATAAAAATTATTCATTTTGGTTGGTTTGAATTTTTTTTTAAAAATTTACTTTCTTGTTTTTTCCGTGCCTTTTTGTTTTTATTGAATTTTTTTAATATTTTCAAAAAAAATGATTTTTAGATACACCTAATATAAATACATTTTTAAAGTATAATATTTATAAAAAAAATTCATTAAATATTAAAAATACAAAAAAAAATATCAAAATCCAAAATATTTGTTGTATTCTTGTATATTTATTGATTTTTTTAAATATTTTACTTTTTAGACACATCTAAATAAGGTATATCTAAAAAAAAGTAAAAAAATTACTTAAAATTTTAAAAATATTCACTAAAAATTAAAAACAAAAAACAAAAAATTTAATTTTCAAAAAATTGAATCCAAAAATTGAAAACAAATACAGTTATTTTTTTGGACTTATTTTCAAAAAAAAATTAAAAAAAATTAATTTTTTAGTTCATTTTGTCAAGTAGAATTTAAAATTTTAAAACCTTTTTTAACAATTTAAAAAATATTTACTAAAAAAACATTAAAAAAAATTTAAAAAATTAAACACAAAAAATCAAACCCAAACACCCAATAATTTATTTTTACTATTAATATATATAAAGTAATGAAACTTATCCCATCTATATTATAAAAATAAATAAATAAATAAAGGTAATGAAATTTATATTAATATCAAAAGGCTCACTCATTTATGCTTGGCAAAGATTAATGCTTGATAAATGTGAGGGGTCTTTAACTCCACCACCAACGTTAAAGGCTCCTAACTATTTTCAGAGATGAAATAGGAGGAATTTATAATGAAGAAATTAATAGTGAGAAAATTTTTAGTGAAAGGATTGATAGTAAGGAAATTAACTAAAATTGTGTTTGTTTTGATGATAAGTATTAGTATAGGAATTGTTAAATTATTTTTATTAAAATAATAAAACAAATAAAAAAAATAAAAAAAAAACATTAAACATTAATATTCAAAAAAAATTAAAAATTCTAGAAAAAATAAAAAATAAATAAAATAATGATTTTTACTTAACAAAAAATATAAAAAAAATTAAACATTAGTGTTAAAAAAATGCCCAACATGTAAAAAATAAAAAATAACTAAAAATAAATAAATAACTTCTAGTCCGACGGACTATTTTTCTAATACTACCTCCACCTCCTCCATCCTTATCCCCCTTCTAAGGCCCAACTTAATCCCCTCCCCCATCTCAATTCCTTTCCCAAATCTACAAACAAACACAACATTAAATGGGTCTCACCTAGCGGTGTTCGCAGATCGGTTTTGTGCGGTTTGCGGTTCGGTTTTGACCCGTCCGCATCTATGCGGTTGGGGAAAAAGTCAACCCGCAACCGCCCGCAGTGCGGTTTGCGGTTTGTGCGGATAGGGTTTGCAAATGTGCGGGCGGTTGCGGGCGGTTTGCGGTTTACACTTTTTTCTTTAAAAGTTAATTTTCGATTTTTTTTTTCCCAGCGAATTTAGGCATCAGATTCATTTTATATATTTGTGATAACAATTTTTTGATGAGTTTACAAATAAAAATTGAATATCAATGCATTAAATGAAAGTACCCAAAACAAAGAGACCCTACACTAGCATTTTTGCCATGAAAAAAATGTATATCAATGCATTAAAGGTTGTACTCAATTAGAATTGCCAGTTCAGTAATCAATAATCAAACTATAAGTTCCATCGACCATTAGAATGAAAATTTTATTAGGAAAAAGTGAATGAATCACCAATGAAAATCATATAAGAAACCAAGTTTAAGATTTTATAATTCTACGGTGTTAAGAAAGTTGAGAAATACTTAAAAATAAGGATCCTAGTGTCATAGAGAATATAATAATACTCCTGTAAAAGTTACAAAGTTGGTATATAAAGAATAATAATAATAATAATAATTATAGTGCGGGCGGTTTTTGCAGGTTGCGGGTTTAAACCGCGACCAGCCCGCAACCCGCAAATTTGTCATATTTCAAACCGCATCCGCCCGCATTATGTTTGCGAAACCGCCCATTTATATGCGGGTTGGGCAGATTGGGCGGTTTGAGCGGTTCTGATAAACCGTTGCCCACCCCTCACCTCTATCTTAATCTCATCTCTCCCTCTATACCCCAAAACAAATGGGGCCTAATTGCTGTAAAGTTTCTTCCAGATTGGGGAATGTCTATCCACTATCGAGACCTAGGTGGCCTGGATTCGTTTGGGATGTGGGTTGGCTTTTTAACTTTTTTATTTTTTGGTTATTTTAGTCTGGGGTTAAAAAATTTCATTTGGGATAGGCTTTTTAACTTTTGTGAGAGAAAAAATGAAATAATTATAATTTAGATGTGACATTTTATCTTATTAACTTTTTAATCTATTTTAACCAAAAAGTCTCAAACTTTTTCTTCCCAAATGAAGGCTACGATTGGTCGGACTACCTTTCAATTTTTGTTGTTTTAAAAGTTATGTTTTTACTTCTGTAATTAGAAGTTTTATTTTACAAATTCTTATAGTGAAGTGGACGTCAAATCTATTAAAAAAATCTTAATGACATAAGAAAAAAAAAATAAAAAATAAAAAAATTTAAGTGATTGATTTGTCCTTGAGAGCCTTAGAGCATTCCCATTAATTTACTTAAATTTTATCTTAGAATATTATTAAAAAATTTATTCCTTATTTTAGGAATTACTTTTTCATTTACTTTTCCCAACAAACTCGCTTCTTTTCCTAAAATATTATTAAAATATTCTTTCCTTTCCCTATTCTTTTACTTTTTCATCTTCTTCTTTCATTTTCCCTTCCATATCTCTACTTTCTAGTTTGATCAAATCAAACCCATCTTTTATATATACAAGTTTGTGGTGACTTTTGTATTGTTGTTCTTGAATATATATATATATATATATGGTAATTAATGAGGGAGATGCACCATGAAGCTCTTCTGGAGGCCCTACCTAGTGACAACGTTGGCTTCAATGTCAAGAATGTTGCTGTGAAGGATCTGAAGCGTGGATTTGTAGCTTCAAACTCAAAGGACGATCCTGCCAAAGAGGATGCTAACTTCACCTCTTAAGTCATCATCATGAACCATCCTGGACAAATTGAAAACAGTTATACCCCTGTTCTTAACTGTCACACCTCCCATATTGCTATCAAGTTTGCTGAAGTAGTGAAGATGATCTCCTCCAAGCCCACGATGGTCGAGACCTTCTCTGAATACCCATACTTTCAACTCAATCCACCAAAAATACTTCCAAATTCAAACCCCAAACCATTCAACAATCCACTGTGTTCAACCCCCTGGAACAAAGGCTCTCTCTTAAACAGAGGTGAGGTCATCCGCCCGGATCTCTGACCGGTCGTCCGGCCAGTCAACTCCTTGGACATCCGACCCTTTGTCTGGGCTGTTGTGTTAGCGTCTTCAACAAATAAAATATGAATTTATTAGATATAAGGAAGCTACAATGACTCACTACAAATAGGTAGTCATTGTAGCAATTCTAAATTTAAGGGATCATATAAGAGATCTGATGGGGTTGCATTTTTGAAGAATCAATCCCTTATAATAGCAAAAAGCTATTTTAAGGCATCTACTTGGAATGTTCTTAAAAAGTCTTTTATACTACTCCAATCACAAACAACGTTCCAATTACTCACAAAAAACATATCAAAAAAAGCATAAAAGGGTAAAAAGCAAATACTACTCCATAAAAGGATCATATAAGGGATCGTATGCCCTATTTAAAATTATCAATATGTCAAAAACAAGGTTCCAATCACAACAAATACTACTCCATTTCACTTGCATTTACAGTTCAGTTACTCACCAAATATGGTTTATGGTGGGTAAAAAGCATAAAAGGGTATTATTCACTAATTTCTTGGTTCTGGGTATTTTTTTATTTTTAGTGAATTTTTTTAATATTTTAAACAAATTTTTTCTTTCGTTTAGATACACCTAATCTAAATATACTTAAAAAATATAATATTTGTGAAATTTTTTTAAAAAAATTCACCAAATATACACACAAAAAATAAAAAATTGATACATTTTTCGTATTTTGTTGTATTCAATGAATATTTTAAATTTTTTTGTATAATTTGTTTTACTTTTTAAGCAGATTAAGATTAAGTTGATCTAAAAATTTAAAAAATAAGGGTAAATTACACTTACACCCCATGAGATTTGGATTTAATACATATCACCTTTGACGTTTGGAAAATTACACTAACCTCCCTGTCATTATAATTATTTAGAAGAAATGAATATATTAAAAATTCATTAGCTCTCTCTTTTCTTGCGTTGCTTTACTTCCTCTATTTTTTTTTTCTTTTCTTTGTTTTACTTTTTTTTTCTCCCAATGTAATTTCCTCCATTATTTTATTAGGAGTTGTTACCTTTTATATAAATAGGGAGTTTGTGAAATAAGACTATTAATCACAGGGGTAAAAATGTAATTTTAAAACATCAAGAAGTGGGATATAATTAGACTAA